TGATGTTTCTGGCTCTCTATCCCTCTCCCTTCCTCTCTGTAAAAAATCAATAAAATATATAAAAAAAAAAACAAAAAAGGAAAAGGCCGCTTTGCTGCGAAGTCCTGGGGCCAAAAGTCTCTCAAATGGGTTGAGCTGTATTTAACACTCTGAGTGCCAACCAATATCCTAGGAACTATGCTAAAATTGCCAAGGCATTTTTGCTGATTTTATAGCAGTTTAGGAAAAAAATTATGAATCTCAAGTAAATGACGTTACATATTCAAAAACTTAAAGGAAACCTTTACTACATTGACAAATTAGCAATATCATCATCACTAATAAAAGCAGATTTAGAAGTGGACGCCATTTCGAAGCTTTGATAGCGCTCCCGGCACTTTTGGAGGAAGACAGCGGAGAGCCACTGGGGGGCATGCGGGAGAGGAGAGGACTGCAGGTCTTTGTGCCATTTAAGGAACATGGATTCTGCGCTAAGAACTCCCAGCAGGACAGCCACTGGGTTCCCACAGCCTGGGACAGAGCTCCAACTACCAAAAAACAGATAAATAAAAAACAAAAAGGAGCCGAACCGGTTAGAGCGGCGGCCTGCGGACTGAAGGGTCCCAGGTTTGATTCCGGTCAAGGGCATGTACCTGGGTTGCAGGCACATCCCCAGTGGGGGGCATGCAGGAGGCAGCTGATCGATCTCTCTCAAAATGATGTTTCTGGCTCTCTATCCCTCTCCCTTCCTCTCTGTAAAAAATCAATAAAATATATAAAAAAAAAAACAAAAAAGGAAAAGGCCTTTGCTGCGAAGTCCTGGGGCCAAAAGTCTCTCAAATGGGTTGAGCTGTATTTAACACTCTGAGTGCCAACCAATATCCTAGGAACTATGCTAAAATTGCCAAGACATTTTTGCTGATTTTACAGCAGTTTAGGGAAAAAAATTATGAATCGCAAGTAAATGAAGTTACATATTCAAAAACTTAAGGAAACCTTTACTATGTTGACACATTTAGCAATATCATCATCACTAATAAAAGCAGACTTAGAACTGGACGCCATTTCGAAGCTTTGATAGCTCCTGGCACTTTTGGCGAAAGACAGGAGTGCGATTACGCTCCCCGGCACTCTAGGGGTTACTTCCGCCCAAACCATCCCTGGGATCCTTACCACTCCTTGGGGCTCCAGGTCCCGCACCGCAGGGGCGGGCACACAGGTACTCTCCCCACCTGACCCCAAACCTGCAAGCACAGGCTTTGCCTCTCACAGAACATTTCCTGGAAGCCAAGAGGAGACTGGGGAGAAGACAGCAGGGTTAGTCAAACTCGGGAACGTTTCGGGCCATTGCTCAAGGCTTGTGCGGTGCAGGGCCGGGACTGAGTTCACCGGGTTTCTGAGAAACCATATTTTAAATCTCCAAATGGTTGTGATTTCTTTATTACACAAACAATGCAGCCATTAGGAACACGTTGTGTTGCTATGCAGCGCGGCCGATCGGCACCAGCAGGCTGTCATGTCTGCACCCGGCTGTTCTGTAGACAAGTCTCCGCCGTGGGGCTGGGCTGGCCCCTCAGCCGATTCCGCTGGCACCTGGGAGGTGTGGAGCCCGTGCCTGTGGCGTGGGGCGCTGGATGTGGTGCCCTCGCCTCTCCTCAGGAAGAAACAGGCCAGCCCAGCTCCGCACCGGGTCCAGCTGGGGCCCAGGAGCCAGGGGTCAGAGCCGGGGCAGCCCCAGACAGGCTGGCCTTGCGTCCCCACCAGTCCCAGGAGTCAGTCCCTGCTGGAGTGGCACTTCCTGCCCCTGGGTGGTCGGGGCGGAGGCAGGTCTCGGGTGGCCGGGCAGGCCAGGAAGAAAACCCGCACTTTCTGCAGCATCGGGCTCTTCCCAAGGCCCGTTCGGACCCAGCTGGGCCCCTGCAGGGCTGAAGGCTGAGAGGCCGGGCCAGAGTTTGTGCTGCACTCAGAACTCTCCCAGCTCTGGTCATTCTCTTCACGGGCCCAGTCCTCCCGATGTGGTTGGTGCCTGTCCTTCCTAAAGACGCCGTCTATGATCGAGGGGCCTGTCCTTGGGGACGCCTCCCCTGCCGGGCCCTGTGCTGGCAGCGGCAGCCCGTCCCAGGCTGGAGGGAGACAGGTTGGTCAGACACACTGGGGTGTGATGGAAGCTGCTGCCTCCGGCCCGCCTCACTCTCTACGGAGAGAGGGCATCGACAGAGGCCACGCTCACGCAGGGCGTAAGCTGGGTCGCTGCCAAGAGCTGGCTAAGTGGTCAGGAAGGTCCACGCTGGAGGCTGGAATGGTTAGGCACCAGGAAGCCGAGTGACCCCAGGACTCGGGGCCCAGCGCAGTCCAGTCCAACGCCCAGGGCCTGCCGGGTGCCAGGCCTCCCAGGGCCTCTGGCCGTCAGAGACGCGCTCCTTCCTGAGGCCCGCCCCGCCCTTCCTGACGTGCTGCCTCCTTATGGCAGACACACTCCTGGGTTTCAGACTTCGTTGCACAGACACCTCTTCTCTGCTCTTTTAAGACTAAATAAAGACGTAAGAAATACGCCAAGGAAAACTGGGAGTGGGCACCGAACAGCCAGTGAGAAACACAGCGCCGGACAGATGAACTCATCGCTTTATCAGACCGAGGCTCACCGGACAGCAGCTCCTTTCTGCAAAGAGGTGACTTGGGCAGAAGTCGGAAGTACAGAGCAACGAGAGGAAAGGTGAATCCTGGCCCCTCTTTTTAAATAAAGGGGGGGGACTCCACTCAACCCAGGGGGCTATTGACTAGATAAACGATGGTCTTCAGTCTTTGCCAAGGGCTCTCATGCCACCCGAAGCTGGAGCAGCAGGGGTGAGGGCTCAGGGGAGCCAAGGAGAGGCAGGGGGGCTGGCGGGCGAACTGAGGGTCGGGGCTCTGCGGGCCCAAGAGGTCAGGAGCAGACCGGCCTGGGGCTAATATAGACTAAGCTCAGCTACAGTTAATCAAGTTTCAACGGAGCAGAAGTCCCCACTGTAACCAGCTATCTGGATTCCTTTATATGGTATCCAGACTAGAAATGCTTATAATTAATAACCAGTTAAGTTAAACAATACTTACACTGTTATTTCACTCAAGTCTATTTCCACTGAAAAAACGCCCGAGGTATGGGCGCCACATCCCGCCCTCGCCTTTCCTCTCTGCTCCGTGAGGTCTCGCTGCTCACAGGGCAGGCTCAGAGCAAGGCCACCCGGCTGCGCTCCTGGCACCTGTGAGGGGAAGGGCAGGCCTTCCCAAACCCGGCCAGACAGTGCCACCTGACGTTAGCTGTCACCCTAGAGTGGCTCCAGGCAACAGACCCCCAGAGTGACTGGGGAATGCCTCGCCACTTCCGGTCTGCCCTTCGCTGCAGAGTGGGGTGACTGTCTCCTGGGAGACGTGCACCCCAAGAAAGCTAAGTAAGGAGCAGGGTGCCGTCCTGCCCAGCACGCCTTCCTCTGGGCGCGCACTGCCTGAGTCTGGATGGCAGGTCCCTGCAGTCCGACCTGGCCAGGCTTCCACCCCCGCCATCCCCCGTGTCCCCCATCCCCT